CTCCCCAGCCCTTCTTCTCACTCTTAAACACCTGCAGCCTCACCTGGGGACCATGCTGGACGACTCGGTTTTGACACAACTGACGGCTACACTTGCACAACAGGTTGCATTCGTAAATGCTGGCAATAACACATAAGACAATGTAAATTAGATGGCCTAGAAAGCAAAATGAAACATATATTGCTACTTCACTTAACTTAGGGCTAGATTGCCTGGGTTACTAGCTTTAGTTTTGTGGAGGCCCAAAATGTGAGTCTATTCCACCTTGTCTGAAGGTCAGAGTCTTTGAGGTTGTTACACACCCTGACCTAGAGTGTTTTGGACATTAAGATGGCTTGTAGAGGTGTATCCTCTCCGCCCTGAACAAAGGTCAGAGAATTCAAGCATACTTCTGCTTTTTCTTCTAAATTAGGAGGTGTGGTTGCTTTCAGGATACTTGATGCCTAAAAGGTCCACTGCCTATAGGACAGAATGCTTTTCTCATGAATTCATGACTTGATGTCTCAAAGCACTGAAGCAAGTAACTGTTCCCACTGTCCTTTGTATCATGTTAAAGCAGTTTTTTGGGTTTTTTTTGTTTTGTTTTGTTTTTTGCCTACTACTCTATGAGGATCTACGGATCTATGATGGACACGGTGGGAGACTGTGTGTGGGGGTTGTTCTGCAGGCCGCCCACTAGGGGACTGTATATACAGAACTATGTGCGGTGCCAGGCCGGGGATAGAACTCGGGTCCCCCGGAGGAGCGGGCGGGTGCTCTGCCCCGAGCCTTCTCTCTCCGGCCTTAAAGCAGTCTTTTGTCTTCTTCCACCCTTTCATATTGGCATTTAAAAGTATATGGAAAAATAAACATGGGCAAACTCAGGACTGAGAACTCAGTATGCAGGAGATTGAGTGGCCCTCCCGATACTATCCTATGTCTCTGTGATTCTTTCTTATCTTTGTTCCTACTGTCTAACATTTCTAATCCTCGTGCCCCTACCCTGGACTGTATAAACTCTCCGTGGCTAGGATCATAACAGTAGTCACCCCAAAAAGGTGGCATATGACATAAGGCAGCTCAAAATGGCCATGCTGTGGCTTACAACATAGTTTATGTTTTTAAAATGGAGTTTGTTCTATCTATCTATCTATCTATCTATCTATCTATCTATCTATCTATCTA